CGTTCGTGCACAGCATGGCGAGGGCAGAGTACGTAGATATGTATATGTAATCATTTTTTGAATGCTGCCCAGACTGGTTCGTGGCGCAGGATCGGGCTTCGAAGGTAAATCGGAAAGAGTATGGCCGAAATGTTCCAGGTCTGCTCCTTTAGAAGGACCCTGAATGTAACAAGTGAAACCGACCGTTCCATACCAAGAAATCCGGGGACCCCCCACAAGAGGGAGGATGAGGAGGAGGAGGAGGAAAAGGAGGAGGAGGAGGAGGAGGAGGAGGAGGCGCGAGCACCTGCGCCGGATCACCACGCATGGTCTCGCCGCGCGCCGCAGCGAGCAGTGGGCGGCGGCTCTACCCCATGGAGCCAGCGCCTAGCTGAAAACGAGCTCCTCGGGCCGCAGCCGAGGAGGAAGAGAAGGGAAGGCGAGGGAGGGAGAGGGCTAGCTGGCCCCGTACCCCCTTCGCGAGGGGGTCCCCTCGTGGCACATCGAGCCGCCCACTGGTGGGGGAGGGGCCTCGGTGGTTAGCCGAGGCGATCCCCCCCCATCGCCAGGCTCAGCCGTGCTACAGGTCGCCCCCCCAGGGGCGGCCGGCACAGAGAGGAGGGAGGAGGGAAGGCCACGGGCTGCTCATGGTGAACGCCTCCGCCGCCACCACGCGCGGCGGCGAGAAGGTACTCCGAGTTTCCTGATAAGCTTCGTGGGGGCATCGCCCCCGCCGACAGCCCCAGATCGACCCCCGTCGCGGGCAGCCACCGCGCGCCGAAGGCGCTCCGACTCCCGTCGCGGCGCGACGGCGAGGCGACGTTGGGGCGCCAATTTGCTGCCGTTGGGCCGCCGCAGTCCATGAGGTCGCTTCCATCTCGCAAGGGGAGGCCACGGGTGATTTCCTTGCCTTATTGAGCGGGGGGACTTGGCCCCACACAGCCTCAGCACTCGTCACAGCAACAGGTGCTGCCGAACCAGCAGCGGCAGGGGCGGACGCTGCGCCCCCCAGCAGCTCCAGCTCGACAGCGACCTCGTGGGCGATGTACGGGGCACGCTGTTTGGCGAGGCGAGCCAGAGCAAGTACGCCGCGAGGTCTAAGGGCACCACGTTCACCCAGGAAGCCGCATGCCTTGGCAACCCCAGTAGCACCACAACTCGGACCGACCACTGCAGGCATGTCGCGCACCGAGTGGCTGCCGACGAGGGGGCGGACCTGAGCGAGGTGATGAGGCACACACCTGCGCTTGCGCAGCTCGATGTTGGCGTCGATGGCCACAGTGACGATGGTGCCCGAGCGTTCGCTGCGACCTCGGCACATCGACGTCTCGAGTACCAACACCTGCCGCATTCACCCCGAAGATCACAACGAAAGGCGGCAGCATCGTCAGTTGGCGGTGCTCGTGGGGCTGGCTGGTTGGCCTTGCCAACTCGGTGTGTCGTGTCGGCTCCACCCACATGCCGACCCCTTCCACCGTGGCGCTGGAGAAGCCGAGCTTTTGGCGCATGTCAAACGGGAGCCTGCCGTGACTGGCCACATTCCTGGCGGTCTGATCGGCCAGCTTGTTGCCGTGAGATCTTCCCCGTGGCTACTTGCTGCCGTGTTTGGTGCGATTGCACTTTGACCATCGTGAGGCCGGTGTCGCATAAGCCACCGAACTTGTCGAGCATCCTCCACACATCGCGCCACTGATGAGCCCAGGCGTAGCTGAAGCTGCACGTCCGCCCCTGGCCGTGCTTGCTCTGTTCACTCCGTGCCGCGGCCGTCCCGGGCCGGCGCCTGCGGCGGTGGCGCGCCCAGCTGGACGCGGCCCTCATGCGGGGCGTGGCGGCGCAACTCCTGGCGGCCCGCTACGGCGCCCCTGGCCGGGCGCGCAGGCGCCGGCGGCCGGGGGGCGTGCGGGCGCTGGAGGCGCGGGGGCCCTGAGTGCCGTGCGTGCCGTGCGAGATCGTAGCAGCATGCAGGTATGGCCAGACCGCCAAGGGGAGCGCGGGGAAGTCGACGCTGCTTTCTGTGATTTCAGTGGCAGGCTGGGTAGTCAGCCTGAGCAGCGATAGCGATGCAATGAGCTCGCCGCCGCAGGTGTCCATGAAGGGCTCGTCGAGCATGGCCGAGACGCCCGCGAGGTACACGTTGGCATGCGGCTCGATGGCAACGACCGCCCACCCAACACTGGTGCACGGAGCGCGCTGCCCTTCAAACGCCGAGCCGTCAAGAAATTACCCGCCTGATCGTAGATACCCGCCCTTCCGTCCGTGCCGACAGAGTTCAGATCGTGCCCTGTTCCCCCCTCGCTCTCAAGCAGTGGCGAAGCGTCCTGGCGTGCCAAAAGGGTTACTAAGCCATGTCCTAAACACCTCTTGTGGTTTCGGCGAAGTGCTCTTAGAACATTTCTGGCTGGGACTGTCTTGTTTGAGCACGTCGGGTTTATGTTATATGAACCTTTGTTTTGTACTTCGAACACTTTGGGGTTCTAGGATCATTCCGTGGTAGGCCTATAGGAATGCCGGGACGGTCGGCCCCTGCTCAACGCTCGCCGCCGAACAACGGAACGGAGTCGGTTGTTCTGGGGCCCGCGGGCAAACTTGGCACGTCGAGCCGGGAGCTGTCGGGGGTTTGGGCGCCTCCCCCTCTGGACCTGGGATGCCCGGGCTCCTCGTCGGAGCCGGCTGAAACTCCGTGCCCAGCGAGTGCGATTCGAGTGGTTTACGCCAGTCCGCCAACCAGCAAAAATGAACCAGTGTTCGAGACGATCGTGACAGTCATGCTTTGGGTCAGGAGCTTCCTGGATGAATCCGAGGGTCTCTTGGGATGCCTCTCCGTGGCCTCTTGGAGAATTCTTGGCCTGTGGGAGGTTTTTTGTGGGCCTCGTGGGGGCCTCCGGGGGCCTTCTTGGCTCTCGGCGGAGCCGGCTGAAATTCCGCCCCCAATGAGCGTGATTGATTGATTGACCGATTGTTTGGCGTATTGAGTAATGTCAGAAATTTACTGTCGTGATTCGTTCACGACGACAGGGTGTCAGGGGAAACTGTGCGCCAGTACCCCTCTTGTTTTCCCCCCTCTCCTTCCCGCTCTCATGTTCTGTCTCATCTCCTTTGGTTGATTGACCGATTGTTTAACATATTGACGAAAGTCAGCGGACAGCTCGGGAGACACTTTTCCAGCTGCCCGCGGACAGCCGCAACCGAACCCGAGTAACAGATTTTGGACCGCGGGCACTCGTCCGCAACGAATTCAGGGCAACAAAATTCCACAAACCCGCAGCCGTAACTGGAATGCCTAGTTTGCGCCGCGTGCGCCCGCAGCCGCACCGCCAACCGCAACAAAGCCAGGCACGCGCAACCGAACCCCGCAACCGCACCCGCCACCGCACCCACAACCGCAACAGCCTACTGCCTTTGGGCAACACATTTTGGTCCGTGGGCGCACGCAGCTGCGTCCGCACCCGCACCCGCAAACCTAACAGCTACGGCCGGGCATCACGTTGGGCCGCGGGCCCACAGCGCAGTCGCGTCGGCAGCCGCAGCCCAGGAGGGTTGGTGAAGTCGACGGGCGGGGCGTTTCACCCCCGAAGGGGTGTAATGGGCTCCTCCTCCTCCTCCCCTCCTCCTCCTCCTCCTCCTCCTCCTCCTCCTCCTCCTTCCACAGCTGCACCCGGACGGCTGGTGGGACTCGGAAGGGTTGTGCGTAGGCGCCGTCTAGCCCACGTGGTTTGTCACGTAAGCTTCTTGCGTGAGCCTTCCCGTCAGATCGCCGTGTCCTCGCGCGTGAGTTCCCGTTCGTTCTGGGGACAATTCTTCTTGTTATGCTGAAGCAATGTGGCTATGTCGTGCTGTTGAAGGGCCTGTTTGGGAGCCCCCTTGACACGCCTTGAGGCATCATTGCGCCATCTTGGGGACGTGTTGTAGCCATCTCGGCGATGATTGGGGTTTCTCGGGACCACCGTCTGCGCCCCTGGTTTGGGCTCGCTGACCCAATCCTGTCGCTGTACGAGTTTTCGTCACCATCACCACATCCCTGTCATATTCTTGCACGGCCCACGACACTTTTAGGCCACTGTCGCCATCATCACCATGACCGCCGCCGGCGTCATTGCCGCAGTTGTCATTCATCACCATCATGTCAATTTGTTGTCAACGTCACGTCACAGTGTATGAAACTATTGACTTTAACAGGGTTTGAGGCGCAAGGCATGTATGGGCGATGTCTTATGTCTCGCTTTGGATACGTGTAACCAGACAACTATGCTGGCACAGCGTTGGCAGTTGTTTGATGCCGCAGATTCCAACACCGTCTAAAACGTGTTCTGGGTAAGGAACTCTTCACGCTGCGTATCTCCCCACCAGCCTGTTCAGAAACCCTGCCCATGAGAGTTGACGGGGAAGCGACGAAGAGACACATAATTCATGTGAAATGACGAGGGCGACCAGGATGAACAGAGCGATCTCTGGGAGTAAGGGGGTGGCCTTGGAGGGCCTCTGCGGGCCATCCGTGAGGCCCACTTGTGAGCGAGGGGGGAGGAGGAGGAGGAGAGGGAGGAGGAGGAGGAGGAGGGGAATGAGGAGGAGGAGGAGGAGGAGGAGGAGGAGGAGGAGGAGGAGGAGGAGGAGGAGGGGGCAGTCCGCCCTTTGGGGCCCTCGTGGGATGCTCTTAGGGCGCTCTTGGGGACGCCTTCGGAGCTGTGGGGGGCCTCTTGAGGCCATCTTGGAGGCTATCGATCAATCACCGATTTGCCTCCGTCAGCATCGCCTCTTGGGGCGCTCTTGAGCCGATCGTGGACGCTCTTTGGGCCATTCCCAGGGACCCCTGGGCCCCTCTTGGGGCCCTCTTGTACCATCTTGAGGCAACCTTGAGGCCTCAACAGCTTATCGGAATCGAATATACGACAAGGCAGCAATCATTGATTTTCCATACGTTTGCAGAAGTATAGCCTCTTGGGGGGGTCCTGTGGGGGCTCCGAGAGCACTTGAAGCCGTCTTGTGGGCCTCGTCGGGCCCCTTCGAGGTATGTCGGAAGCTAAATTGAACCATCTTTGGATATTTTCAGCCGCCTTGGAGGCCATCTTGGAGCATCGGGGGCCCTCTTGGAGCCATCTTGGGCGAAAACGGGCTCCCTGCCACCTCGCGAACCCCGCCCCCCAAAAAGCCCCCCTCCCTGATGAGAAGAAGGTTTTGGAAGAGACAGAGAGAGAGAGAGAGTCATTCTTAAACAAAGGCATTGTTAAGCCACCTGCGCCCAGAGGACTAATGGAATTCAGGAGCGCGCAGTTATCGATGATCCGCCGGACCAGAGCAGGATTACATATCAGGGGTGCGGAGGGCGAAACGGGCTGCAGGCAAGACGGCCCGGCAGACAGGCGTAGGGGGTTGGACGGAAGTTGCTTGTGCGCAGCAAGTGGAGTTGTGCCAGGAGGAATGCAAAGATGTCGCCAGAGAAAGGGCCCCAAAGGCAATCGAATTGCGTAATTATGAGCGGTGGTCTGCATTTCTGATCTTTCCCATCCGGTGTTCCCAGTGCCCTTCGTCCGGTGTGCGGGCGATATTGCTTCTTCTGCTGAAAACACTGGACTGGGAGTTGTTCGCCGAAATGGGAAATTGTTGTTCAGGTGCGAAACTATGATGCAGATTCCGTCGTTTGGCGCTCGTGTATTATTTCTTTGGTCGCCCCTGGACGAAACACATTTGTTCGTTCTCGTTCGCCATCACCATTCAGTTTATTATTTGTATTACTATGCCTCGTTGCCTCTGCAAGCGGGGCGTTGCTTGCAGTTCTCCGCCGGGACATTGCAGCGGGGCGTCTCCCTTCCACGCTGGTGCCTCTGATTTTTGTGAAGGCGCGGGCCTTCGAGCTCTCGACCCCCAGGGACCTTTTCTCTTCCCAGATATTTTCGAGTTGCCCTGAAGCTCCAGCCGTGGGGACGAGAAGCCTCCCGCAGCCCCCACCCCCTAAACAGATGGCGAAGAAGCACATCCGCACACCGTCGGCCCCCGTCGTTTCCCTCCTGTGGGGGCGGACACGTCTCCACCCGACCTCGCCGTCCCGACTCCCCGGCCGAGACCACGCGGGTGTAATTACAGGGCGGCGCTGCGCGGATGGGGGCCCCCGCGCGGAGCGCATCCCCGGGATCGCGCATCCACGGGGCCTCGGCCTGCGGAGCACAGCTCGCGAGGGCGCGGGCTGCGGAGGCGCCCGTCGCTCGTGGCCGCTCGCCGCTCGCCGCGCGCAGGGGCGCTGCCGCGCCGCCGGGGTGCCGGGAGCCGCCCTGCGGCGGCCCGCGGGGCGTGCCGCTGACGCCCGCGCTGGCGCCCCAGCGACCAGAGGCGAGCCTCTCCCCTAAAACAAAAGAAAAAAGAGGCGAGCCTCTCCCCTTGCGGGTCTCGAAGATCAGAAGCGAAAGAGACACGTACATGTGCGTGAATGCACGCTGGTTTCGAGAGTACTCGTTGTGCGAACGAGGCCAGTCTCGCTTACTGGAGCGGCGTGTTCACGTACATGGTCGGCCGCGTATGTCCTCTGCGGGTTCCCTAGAAGAAGGGAAACCTCCATAAACGTAAACTGTTGGCGCTCCGCGCGGATTTCTCGGATCTGCGCTGGGACCTCCTTGCGGCGCCTCCGGCGCCGCCCCTGGCGCGCTCCGCGCGCCAGGGAGGGGAGATCCAGCGCAGATCCAAGAAATCCGCGCGGGGCGCCAAAAGTGTATGTTTATGCTTTTTTGTTTCTGTAGGGTCCAGTCGACGCTGGGGTAGTGATATTCGTACGGGGCCAGGACGAGGATAGGTCCGTTCCAGAGCGTTCCGAAACGCTCTCAGAGCGTTCCAGATCGCTCTTAGAGGGCCGCGGCGCCCGAGACATCCTCCAGAGCCGCCGGATCTCAGGGAGTGTCGATTTCTCCTCATCCGATTTCATCTTCGTCCTGACATCGTCGTAGACACCACTGCCAGGGTCCACACGCTTGCAGACTTCCTTCGAGTTCCCAATGCTGAGCCGCTGGCCGGCGTTTCAGAAGTCTGGCTTGCAGGGGCAATGTAGCGTGACTATTCAGAAATGCCCATGGGGCCTGTCTCTTAGTGTCGCCCTGGGCGGTGATTGATCAAGTGTCGTCGTCGTCGTCGTCGTCGTCGTCGTCGTCGTCGTCGTCACTGGATTCTGTGGTCGTCTTCTCCAGAAGCTCTCCCAGCAACAGAAAATGGTTCTCAGAATCGGTCCCCCAGTTCAGTGGCCGCATTTGAACCCTGCCCCCACCCCCCACGATTTCGAAGGGGGGTGCGGGTTCACTTCGTTCGGGAGCTCCCGGGCCTGCTCCCGGGCGAAATGAACCCCCCCAGCCCCTCTCAGAAATCGTGTGTGCACATGCGGCCCACCTACTAGTGCTTCTTCTCGGGTCGACACTCTGCGCCAGCACAGTGTTGGGCTCTCCTGTGGTTGCCCCAGGCGCCCCTGGCGCCCGCGCGCGACGAGGCGCGCCCCGCGCCGCCGCCGCCGCCGTGCGCGCTGCAGTGACCCCGCGCGGCGCTGTGGCGCGGCGCCGTGGCTCGGCGCCGAGCGGCGCCCTGCGGCGCAACGGCCGTGGGCGCCGCCGGCGGCGGTTCGCCGTCGGCGCGGCGTGACGCCGGCAGCGCCGTGCCCCGTCGGAGCGGCGCGCGCGCCCCGGCGGGCCGGGAGGTCGCGCGCGCGCGTGCCGCAAAGAGGTGCCGCCCGGGGAACCGACGCTGCAGTCGACGGCGAAGTTCGGAGTCAGGGCAGGAGTGAGGAACGAACAACACACACCCATACCCATAAGGGGGTCGTTGGGAGGAGGACTGGCTCATGGGTTTGGGTGCGTGTTGTTGGTTCGTTAAGGAGTACCCTTCCCTCGTTGTCGCCTGTTTGGGCCTCGGGGGAGGCCCTCGTGGCCGCGGCCGGATTCGCTGACGGGTTTTGGTCAGGACGCACCCCGGGAGAGGTCCGAGTATCGGTACGTTTTGGTTTCCCCACGAAGCTTACCTTCGCCGATCGATGGGAAGGCAGGTCGATGGGCGGCGGGGTTGGGGGGGGTTCAGGATTCGTCGAACGTGTGGCAGAAACCGAACCCTGCTCCCGTCTCCCATCGATTCAGAAACATCGATGGTTGGTGGGGGTTGGTGGGGGTAGCGTTCGATTGCCGCTACCTATCCAGGGCCCCGGGAGGCAGAATGTGCACGGACGTCCCCACCCGCGATGCCGTGCGATACGGCCAGAGAGATTGAGGCCCGCTCCCGTCTCTGGGAAGGACTCGAGGCAGTGATTCAAGGCCCTACCTCGGGTTTCGTTGGGCGTCACTCGTGAGAGGTTAAGCTCTAAGCGCAGCTGTTACCAAGCAGGGCTTCCTGTCCCAGATTCAAGAACACATGAGCGACGCAGAAGAACGAGTTCGTCTTCACCGACTTTGGCGCGTGAGCCGCCCGCGCAAGGCCGCGCGGAAGCGACCTCGTCTCCACTGAAGCGTGTCGCGCTGGCGGCCCGCGTAAGCCACCGCGCAGGGTCGCTACGCCATCTCGCGTAAGACCCGTTTCTTTCTCGTCGCTCATATGCAGAAGTTGTCTTGTACTTTGGCGTCGCTCGGGCGCGTGATTCTTTTCTCGGCGATGGCCATCGAGCAGCACCCTGGATCATCTGACAGAACAAGCTGATGGGCCTGTTTTCCACCACATCCACCACCACCACCACCACCACCACCACCACCACCACCACCACCACCACCACCACCACCATAAGTTGGATGGGGAGGGGCTCCTGCTCCTCCTCCTCCTCCTCCTCCTCATTCCCTCCCTCCCTCCCTCCCTCCCTCCTCCTCCTCCTCCTCCTCCTCCTCCACCTCCTCCTCCTCCTCCTCCTCCTCCTCCTCCTCCTCCTCCTCCTCCTCCTCTCCTCCTCCTCCTCCTCCTCCTCCTCCTCCTCCTCCTCCTCTCCTCCTCCTCCTCCTCCTCCTCCCCTCCCTCCTCCTCCTCCTCCTCCTCCTCCTCCTCCTCCTCCTCCTCCTCCTCCTACTACTCCTACTCCTTCCTCCTACTCCTACTCCTACTCCTCCTCCTCCCTCTCCTCCGCCTCCTCCCTCCTCCTCCTCCGCCCTCCTACTCCTCCTCCTACCCTCCTCTCCTCCTCCTCCTCCTCCTCCACCTCCTCCTCCACCTCCTCCTCCTCGGGTCCTCCTACGGCCCCACGGGGAAACCGTGCCCCCCCTCCCCCCCCCCTTCGGAGGTGGCGATGCAGAGGAAAGCCATGCCAAGAAAAGTCCTGCTTGCTTTCAGGGTGCCCTGGCATTCGATGGTTTCTGCGGGTGATTCGAAGCGTGGCATTCCAACAAGAAGTGTAGTGGGCCAAGTCCTGGTGTCTCAAGGTAGTGTTCCTCTTGTGGGAGCGTTTCTTGTGGTCGAGGGGTAGGGGCGAAAAGCCCTGAGGCGGACACCACGTGAGGCAATCCTCCTCGGACATTCCACGTGAACATCCTCGTGTACCATCGGTGCTCTTGAATTCGAGCAGTGGAGAAGCGTGTTGGCTTTCCTATTGGCCCACCATAAAAAAGTGTCGTAAGAACCTGGTGTGGTCTGTACGAAATGTTCTTAGCACATTTCTGGCTGAGATTGTCTCGTTTGAGCACATCGGGCTTATGCTCTAAGAACACAGCTTTGGTTGTTCTAACATTCTTATGTTCTAAGAGTCGTGACGGTGGTTCCCTGCTCAATGGATGCACGTATTGCTCTCTCCGGGGCCATTCGCCCCCATCGCCGCCCCCCAGACCCGGCCCGCCGCCCCCAAGATATCACGCCGGCCCTTGAAGCGCTTCCGCGGCAGAATCTCGGGAGGTCCCGGGTGGTCGCCCCCTTCGGCGCCGCACACCCGAGCACAGTCAACCCGCATAGGAGGGATGAGCGATTTTCCAAGGCTGTCCGTGCATCCTTGTCCTTTGGGCCCATTCTCTGTATTTTTCGATGGCCAGCCTCGTTCGAAAAACATGCACATGGCCCCCCAGGGCCCTCGCATCCTCGCATCCTTACCGCGCATCCTTATTGTTATACGGGTCAGCTACCATGTCGTTGCACATTAACCGCGAAATGTCTTTTGTTTTGGTCCCCCCCCCCACTTCACTCGGCGGCGAATAGGACTGGTCCTAAAACCTCCACCTCCCCCGTCTCCCCCTCTACTCCTCCTCCGCCTCTTGCTCCTCCTCCTCCTCCTCCTCGTCCTCCCCCCGCTCCTCCTCGTGTCATTCGTAAGGGGGAGGAGCAGCAGCAGGAGGATGAGGAGGGATGCGTTGTAGTTGTCGTAGTAGTCTCTGCAGTCGTCGTCGGCGTCGGCGAAGTCGCAATCGTAGTCGTAGCTGTCGTCGTCGTTGTTGCGCGGCGGGTGTCGCAGAAAACTATAATTCGTTACCCCGTATTGGTGGGGCCCCTGTCCTTCAGAAAGGCCGCTGAACAACAAACAATTAGTTACCCCCTATTGGGGAGGGGAGCTCTAAAGACCCTTCGCGGTGAAGTACCCTGCATCGTGTCTCCTGTGATGACGTCGGCCGTGTTGTGATGACCGGCAGGCAGGGCGCGAGAGGTCGGGAGGCGGTGTGCAGTTCGGCGAGCGAGACTGGGCAGAGCACGAGCCGTCGCGGAAGCGGGCGCCGTTCTTTTTCTGCAATGCCAGCAAGGGCGCCTTCGAGGGCGCAAAGTTATTCGCGCTTCGTTGTTCGACTCCGATTCCTCCTCATCCTCCTCTTCTCCCCTGGGGGGCGGCGCGAGAGCGCGAAGTTGAGCGATTTGTGTCTCGCCTCCTGTCCGCTGCCCTCTGCGTCCATGTCTTGCTAAGCAGTACTCCTGCGGCGTTCGGCAGGCTTGGTGATGCCGCTCGTGTCTCATCTCCGTCTGATCTCATTGCCTTCTCCTCTCTGGTCTTTTCGCGTGTCGGGGTCTGGGCTCGAGACGTGCTCGACTCCAGAGTGGCGAAGCGAGAGCGCGAATATGGCCGCGCATTGCGCTTTGTGAAGCACGGATTAATATGTCATGTGACTTAGGTAGTTCAAAGACGCAGCAGGCATTTCTGTTTTGGCATCTGCGGCGGAAGGAGATGCGTTGCGTCTCTTGTCCCTGGCATTTCTGTTTTGCAAATAGTGTTGGGTTTGGCTCAGTCCAGCTAAATAATGTTCCGCCGAGCTCGATTAGTTTGCGTCCGACTCAATGCATCCGTCATGTTGCGTACTTGCGCCCGCAACCCAGACCTCCGTGGGACATCTTCCTTGGGACAGTTTGTGTGCTCCTGCTTTGTTGTTCCTCAGTTCTGCGTTAGGCTTTGCAGAAGGTGTTATACTCTTACCTTCTCTGTGGAAGAAGCCGCGGGGCGACCTCGCCCAGGATGCGCAGTCTTGGCCGAGCCATGCAAAGCACTGCTAAGCAGGGCAAAGCAAGTCAACGCAAGATCAAGCAAGGCCAGGCAAAACCAAGCAGTGCCAAGCAATGCCAGCAGGTTTGGCAATGTCTTGCATTGCATTGCGTTGCATTGATCGCTTTGGCTTGCTGCAAAAGAGAGATGACCCCAAATTAGGGCCGCGCCAGGTTCATTCAATGTTCCAGTGCTTAGGCATCACTTCCAGAAAACGAAACTAAGGAAAAGCACGCCAGCGTTGATACCGACATTTGGGTTTTCTGAATATCCACCTCCTGGGGAAGGCCTTACGGCCGGTGCCGCAGACCCTGAAGGGAGACGACGATGACGACAACGCCGGCGGCGGCAACGACAACGACGACGCTGACGTGAACCAGAGTCCTTAAGGATGCTTCTTGGGGTCTCTTCGGAAGGCTTTCGGGGCCCTCTGGGGGGGGAATTCTGGGGCCTCTTGGGGGCCTCTTTTGGGGGGCGTCTGTCGGGCCGGGCGAAAGGGGGGGAGAGGGAAACCCTGACTCCAGATCCGCCCTACTTTGGCTTTTTTCCAACTTAAAATTGCATGGGAAATCCACCTTTAAGAAGCCGAACAAGTAGGGCGGAAATTCCTGCACCCAACATAAAGTAGGGCGGAAACCCACAGAAGTAGGGCGGAAACAGCAACAGAAAAGTAGGGCGGAAATTGGCATCAGCGGGGCTTGAAAAGTATGGCGGGAATTCCAAGCCCTACTTAAGAATTTCCCCAATGTAGGGTGGATTTGGAGTCAGGGAAGGGGGGGGGTACGAAATCTGCTGCATGCAGCTGGTTTCGGTCCCACCGAGGGGCTGCTGCATGCGCCGGACGCGCCGGGAGGCGCCGGGAAAATCTGCTACGTGAGCTGATTATCAACCCCCCCTTTGGCTATCCCCCCCTTTCGCCCAGCCCGAGTCTTGGGAGCATCTTGGGGGCCTCTTCGGGCTTCCGTGGGACCTCTTTTCGGAACCACTTGGGACCTTTTGGGAACCACTTGGGGCCTCCTGGGAGCCTCTTGGGGTCGAGGGCTCGAAATGTCCGTTCGGGTCCCCAGTCTGTGCACGCTCTCGGAACCGTCTTGGGGGCTTCGTGGACCGTTTTGGATGCGTGTTTGGCTGTCTTGGGGTCCTCTTGGGGCGAGCTTGGGGGCCTCTTACGCCGGCTTGGAGCGGCGGGCAGTTAAAGCGGCGAGAATGCCCCGATCTTTAGAAAGATGAAGCACTTTTGGAAAATCAATGAAATTGGCCCCTAAGAGCCCTCTCATGAATGCTCTTGGGGCGTCCTGGACACATGCTGGGCAGTCTGGAGGGCCTGAAGGCGTTTGGGACCGATCGGTTGGCGATTGTGGACCCTCTTGGACCATCTCGGGGGCCTCTTGTCTTGGTACTTTCTGAGGGTCGAAGGCCCCCGGGGGGATGCGTATCTGACCCTTCCCCCCTCTCCCCTGCCCCCTCCTGGGACCCCCCCCCGTACCCCCTCCTCCCCCCGACGGGGGAGGGATCAAAGGGGTGGGGCTTCCCATCGACTCGATTACGACATTGCTTCATTGTTCTCTCGCTGGCAAGCTTGAGGAGGGGGGTGCAGGGAACGGGTGCGACGAAGACGCGCCTGGGGAACCGATTGGGGGAAGCCCCTGGGGCCCCACATTCCCTGAACAGTGCTTGCACTTAGGGGCTCTTACTTGTGTTCTAAGGAGCTGGGCCTGAGTGTCCGTCTGGCGGCTAAGTTGCCGCCGTCGCCGCCCCGTCGCCGACTCTTCGCCGCCGTCCTCTGGGCCCGGGTGCCGGTCTAGCGGCCATTTTGCCACCATCGCCACCCCGTCTCCGTCTGGTCGCCGCCCGTCGTCTGGGCTTGGGAGGCGGACTGCCAGCTATGTTGCCGCCGTCGCCGCCCCGTCGCCGCCATGTCGCCGCCCGTCGTCGGGGCCTGGGTGCCGGTCTGGCGGCTCCGTGCTCGCCGTCGCCGCCCCATCGCCGCCTCGCTGCCGCACCACATTGATAGCACAACATTGATTGCAACGCGTACGGTTCCACAACATAGGTTGAACAACATATATTGCACCACATCGACTTTACCACGTACATTGCTCCACATATATTGCAGAGCATAAGTTGCACCACGTATATTCATCAACGCATAGTGCAGCCCACATGGTGTACCACATATGTTGCACACTGCACACAAATATTGCACCACATAGATTGTACGACATATATTGTAAATGTAATCTCTTGAAACATAAAAATGATTTACCCTTCTCGTACATAAGGATAGATTGTTCCGTATTGCACGACGTTTTACCCCATCGTCCGTCCTAAATCTGAATTCGCACCATCCCACGCAGACTGGTATCGTTCCCCTCCCCTTCATGTTTTGTTTGCAACAAAAACTATGCGCTCGCGTGATTTTCTTCCAAACGTCAAAAGTTTTCAATCATCCCTTGCAACAAACGGGACGACGTTCGCAAGCGCGCGTCGTCGCGCGCGCACGCCGACATCCTCCCCAAACCCGAGGTGTCGCACGGATGTCAGCATCTAGTGCCCCGAAAACAAATGAACAAGTTTCGCAACACGAATTTTCAAGCAACGTTTCCGCCCGCTCTCTTGCGCATTTGCAATTAAGAAAACCACATGTTCTCAACATGCTCGTTACATGCTACCAAACGGCCTCTCGCGCGAGCATGTCGAATTCGTTCGAACGCCCCTGTGCGCATGCTGCAACATCCCTGCAAACACTGGGACGAAGTGCGCACGCGCGCGTTGTCGACGTTGCCATGATACTGCGTCCGCCTAAGTCGCCGACTCGCATTGAAGTGCCCGCTGGGAAGTGCTCGGCGCTCCACCGCGGCAGTGTCGGTCGCGCCAAACTAGCTGGCCACTGCGCGCGCGAGCATGCGCGGGCTAGCGCGTCCGCAGAGAGGCACCAGCCAAAGTTGGGGAAGCCGTCGATCTGAAGTCTTGCATCAGCCTCAGCCTGCACAAACCCAGGAGCGAATCGCATGCGCCTTCGCGGACCTGCCGAATGAGGAAAGGCAGGGAAGACGAGGGGGATGATGAGGAGGAGGAGGAGGAGGAGGAGGAGGAGGAGGAGATATAAACGATTTTGAAACAGAGGAGGAGGAGGAGGAGGAGATGGAGGAGGAGGAGGAGGAGGAGGAAGAGGAGGAGGAGGCGGGGGAGGTGAGGAGGGAGGAGGGAGGGGGAGAAATTGGCTGATGAAGAGGAGGAAGGCGAGGAGCAAGAGGAGGAGGAGGAGGAGGAGGAGGAGGAGGAGGAGGAGGAGGAGGAGGAGGACAATGGCGAACTTGGGGCCGTCTTGGGCCGTCTTGGGGGCCTCTTGGCGGTCCGTCCGGGGGGCATCTTTGCTGGCCCCCCCAACAGCCCTCGAAAGTAGCGGCAGTTTCGCAGATCGCAGCCCCCCACGGATGTCAAGGTCTAATTTGAATCTGCCGTCAGCACCCATGATGTTGGCCCCCCCAGCAGCCCTCGAAAGTGGCGACAGTTTCACACCAGGCAGCCCCCCAGGGATGTTGAGGTCTAAATTGAATCTGCCGTCGGCACCCACGATGCTGCCCCCCCCAGCAGCCCTCAAGGGTGGCGACGGTTTCACACTCCGCGCCCTCTAAGAGGGATGCAAGCAGGCAGGTGCAAACAGGCGCGAGGGGGACAGAGGGCGGGAGATGGCACCCCACTGCTCTATTCAAAACGAGAACCCAACCAAGAGAAAGCTGGGAAAGAGTTCGCGCGCGCGTTTTTGCGAAGCCTTGCATATAACCATGGGTTCTTGATGTTTTCATCAAATTCGACCAAGCTGGCCCTTCGTGCGCGCATGCCGAAATCATTCGACCTCCCTTGCGCGCTTGCTGGGGGAGGCGCGATCCCTGTCAAATACCACCATACGGGCCACTCGCGCCCGTAGGCTGCGCGCGCATGTCGAAACCCTTCCAAACCATTTATCATCGACATGTGGACACCATTGTCGTCATCGGCATGATCAGCATCGGCGCCGGGATTGGACGTGCCGTCATCATTGCCATCATCCTCGCCGGCATCGTTACTATCATCATCGTTTCTGTCGTCTTCGACGTCGCCGCAATAATCCGCCCGCCCGAGTAACCGACTTGCACTGAAGCGCCCGTGCGCCAGCGCGCCCTGCGAGACGCGTTGGGGAGTTCCCAGCGCGCCACTCTGTCCGCGTCGGTCGCGCCAGACTAGCTAGCCGTTCTGCGCGCGAGCCTGTGCGCGCTATTGCGGCCGCATCGATGCGCCAGCCAACGCCAAATAGTCATCGCAATCGCCGCCGCATGGGTTTTGCTAACCAGGTTGCGGATGGGTGGGTGGGATGATTGCGCGAGCGGGGGAGTTGTCAATTTCAAGTACGGCAGTGTGAATTGAACGACATAGGTTACATCACATTCATTGTGCAACATAGCTTGCAATACATCAATCGCACCACCTATATCGCTCAGCATACATTGCTTGACATACTTTGTACCTCGCTGATTACACCACAGAGACGGCACTAGATCTATTGCAACTCATACGTTGCGCATCATCGATTGCACAATTTATATTGCACAGTGTGGGCTGCATAACGTAGACTGTATAAACTTAATCGGACCACATTGATTATAGTGCAGGCCTTACGGCCTGTGCCGCCGACCTTGACGACGACGACGATGACGCGACGTCGACGACAACGACGACGACACGACGACGACAACGACGACGCCAACGACGCGGACGACGGCGACGGCGACGACGGGCACAACGCCGACAGGGGGTAGTTTTGGGCCTCTTGGGGGATCTTTGGGACCTATTGGGCCGTCTTGGGGCGATCTTGGGGGCCTCTTGGGCCTTCTTGGAGCGTCTGAAAGCCGAAGAGGCGGACCTGCGAGAATCCTTCAACAATCTTACGGAAATCAACGATTTGGGCCTCTTGGGGCCTTCTGGGGACGCCTATTGGGGCGCTCTTGGGGGGTCTGGGTCTTTTTGGCCGTCTTGGGGCCAGTCTTAGAAACCTCCTTGGGCTGTCTGGAGGCTAGTTTGGCGTCTTGGACCGATAATTCGGCGATTCGGGACTCTCTTGGACCGTCCTGGGATCCTCTTGGACATCCTGGAGCTTTTCTGGGACCCAGACGCCCCCGGGAGGGAGGCGTATCTGGGTGGCGACCCACCCCCGGGACCCCCTTTGAACTTCCCCAGGACCCCACCCGGGACCCCCCCTCTCCTCCCGCCCCCGGGAAGGGATCAAAGGTAAGGGGCTTCCCTCTGACGCAATGAGACATTTGTCTGTTGGCACGAGAGCGGCGACCTCGATGTGGGAGCGGTGACGTCGACGACGAGGCTCTCGACGTGCGAAAGGTGACGTTGATGACGAGGCTCACGACGAACAGCGTCTTGACGGCGACAGTCCGCGTCTTCAATTCGCTGACAGGGTCGGCGGATTCCACATGTATTGCAAAACGTGGATTTTAACACATAGGCTGCAGCACATTGAGAGCACAACATATATTGCACAACGCATGTTGCTAGTACGCACACTGTTTGGGGTCCACGATGGATATCCATCTATAGGATACGCATACGTGCAGACACACGTGAGTGTATGCAGACAGATCGACGGACGCCAACTTGCATGTCATTAATACAGACACACACGTGTGTATCCATGTCCGCGGCCACCTGAGGCCTTGGGAGATCGGCTCCCGAGGCGGGGGACATGCATAATAATCCTAGCCTTAAGTCGGACTTGTCACTCTACAGAAGGAATATTCAAAAATAGTAAAAAGATAGTCTGGGATCTATGTTTAGACTATGTTGGAGCATTTTCGGAACACTTTTCTCCTGTGTTTTATTTTTCGTCCAAAATCGGCCTGCAGAGGGACAGGCCCGACCTAATCCCAGCCTCGAACTGAAGCCGTCGTGGCGTCGGACTCCTGGGAAAGGCCTCCCGGGCGTGGCCACCTCACCAGCGAGCCCCGCATGCATGCGGGGGAGCGGCCCCTGGCCTTAAGTCAGGCCTGTCCCTCTACAGGAGCTCCATGCAAAAATAGTCACAACATAGTATGGGGACAATTTGATTAGTATTGTTTGACTATTTGGGGGTATTGTTTTGAGTATATATGATGCATTTTTTGCCCGAAATCCCCATGTAGGGGGACAGGCCCGACTTAACCCTGGCCTCGCAAGCGCCCCCGCCCCACAGAGACGCCGCGGCGCGAGAGGCCCTCGGCGACGCCGCCGACCCGCTCGGCCCGGCGGTCGAGATGCCGTGGAGGGCCCCCCGCTCGACTCGACGGCGAAATCCGAACCAGGGCTGGACCTAAACAGTGCTTTTCGTTTTCGTTTCGTTTTCGTCTTTCCTCGTTTTGTCACGAGTTCGCCTCTGCTGCAAAACGACAGCGAGACGGAAACGGCCCACGAATCGCCAAAAGACCGTTTAGGTCCACCCCTGATCCGAACCATACTCTCGCCGATCAACTATTCGGGCAACTCGACGGGTGGCGGGGGTGGGGTTCGGAATTCGTCGAAGACCTGCTGAAGTCCGAACCCTACCGCGAGTCCTGTGCGGAAGCCTTGTGCGGGGGACCGTGTGCGGGGCTCGTGGGGTCGGACTACCGCTGGCCAAGCGCTGCTCGGCACAAGACTCCTCGTGCGCCTCGTGTGCAGGCACTCTTCGCTCCGGCACTCTTTCTATCAAACATAGTACCTCCGCCTCCCAGCGATTCAGAAGAGTCGGTGGTTGGCGGGGATAGGGTTCGGATGCCGCCACGGATCGAGTAACAATCGGCCTAGACGTAATTCCTCGGAGGTCCGTGCGGAGTTCTTGGATCGGCGTTGGGCGCCTGTGGCGGCGCCTCCAGTGCCGCCCCTGGCGCGCTCCGCGCGCCAGGGAGGAAGGCCCGGTGCCGATCCAAGAAATCCGCGCGGACCTCCGAGACATTATGTGTATGTCAGTGTGGGCTTCTCTGCACACGCGAGAGCCACCCTGCTCGAGCCGAACGACAGGGGGTGATAGGGAAGGGGAAAGCTGGTTTCGGCCCCGCCGCCGGGCCCGTTCCTCGATGCATGGGCGCCGCCCGGCGCCAGGAGGCGCTGGAAGAATCAGCTGCGCGAGCTGATTCTCTATCCTGCCCTTTGCGATCCCCCCCTTTCGTTCCCCCCGACCCTTCGTCGGAGTGGCCTGCCCTTGCGGAGCCTCGGCCACGCGCAGAGGGGGGCAGGAGGAGGGGGGGAGGCTTCTTAGAAGCACCCCTGCTTCTCAGAAGGCGCTGGCCTTCTCTAGAGACGTAAGGCCGGGGCCTTCTAAGAAGCAGGGGTGCTTCTAAGAAGCCTTCCCCCTCCCCCTACCCCCTTTTGCGCGCCGCCAAGTTCCCCCCGGCCCTTCGTCGGAGTGGCCTTCCCGTGCGGAGCAGCTGGGGGGCTCCCAGCTCGCCGCACGCGGTGCGGCAGCAGCGGCCTGCGCGCCCGTGTCTGCGCGCCCCCCCCCCCCCGGCGCTCCCTTTTGGAGCCGCGCAGCAGTGGCCACGCTTGGCTCTGGCCACTTGCGCGTAGCCTAAAGTTAAGTCGGGCCTGTCCCCCTACAGGGGGATTTCGACGAAAAAAATGAATACCAAAAATAGACAAAAAGTAGTCCAAAAATAGTCTGGAAACTATTTTGGGGTATTTGTTTACCTTTTTGGTGTATTTTTGTTGTGCTTTTTTGTTGTACTTTTCGTTGAAAATCCCCCTGTAGGGGGACAGGCCCGACATAAGCCTTAAAGTCGGGCGTGTCCTCTCACAGGAGGAGTGCACAAGAATGCTCAACAACTAGTCTGGGCAAGATTTGCGTACCATTTTTGAATAGTTTGGGGTAGTCCTTGACTGTTGTAGATGTTTCGTCCAAGGTCCGCCTGTATGGGGACGTGCCCGACCTAAGTGCAAGCCCTCCCCCCCCCACGGCCTGCGCGCTCGAAGGGGGTCGGCAGATTATCGCACGGAGGCTACGCGAGGGAGGGACGTTCTCAGCACCTTGGGTGCCCAGCGCCCAGCGTTCGGTGTGGCCGGTTGTCTGCCTTGGTGGCCTCCTGGGGCCAGGTTTTCTAGCTTCGAGACCAGAAGAAACGACTCGGGGTGAAAATCCGGCCCGGGTGGAGAAGGGGTCGAGATTTCGAGGGGTTCACGCATCGAAACACAATCGAAGTTCTGGCCGCCCTTGCTGGAAGGAACCGACGCCCCTCTCAGAGAGGCGTCCTGGGGGGGAGCGCCTCGGAGGGCAGGGTGGCCTCTGGGAGCCCCTGAAACGGCCGCGCCCCTCGTCCCACCCCCCTGCTGGGCTCTGACGCGGGGGGCGGCGGCGAGGCCAGATCTCTTCGCGGTGTGGAGAAGTCGCGACGGCAGGTGTTCATACATCTGCAGGCCCGGGGGGGGGGGACGACGACAAGCCGGTCCGAAAAGCAGCCCCGGGAAGCTCCGAAGAAAGACCTGCGGCTGCGGCGCAGAGAGAACGTCGTGCCAGGCCCAGGGGGGGGAGGGGTCGAGAGATCCGGGGCTTATCGATGATTGTCAGGGCGCCTGTTAGCCCAATGTGTACTTACCGGGTTCAGTTGTAACGATAGCACGCAGTTGGAGTCAGCCGTCATTGCACCGGCTGCGTCGCCTTTGTCGATGTGTGCTCTTGGTGTGAGTTTGTGGTGTTTGCTCTTGGTGCCTGGCATGCGGTGTATGCGATGAGCGTTTCTTACTGGGTATGTTCTCGAACTGTGCGTGCCATCGCCTTCTTTGATTGAAGTTTGTTGTTCGTGTGTGGCTTGCGTGTGCGTGCGTGTGTTATTGATACCATCTCGTGATGTGCCTTCTTGACGTTTGTTGCTTACTCATGTTATCGGTATGCGTGTTCGGGGGATATGTGGATTAGGATGAGACGGAAGAGGATGACCAAGTTGATTCCAGTGAAGTGGTTTAGGCGGATGAGAAGGCGGAGGATGAGGAGTACGCGTAGGAGGATGACGAGGAGGAGCATCGACAAGGAGGAGGAGAGGTGAGGTAGGTGCAGCGGCTGCTCACTCACCCTGGGCTGCGTGCAGCGCCGTCGCATGATACGACTGTGGCGCCGTGGTAGAGCAGCGGCCGCCCATGCCCGCAGAAGCGGCGTGCGTTCGAGAAGGGCCGGGCGGCGCGCCTAAAGGAGTGGGGCGAGGGGTCGGGTGTTGCCAGACGTGCCGCAGGCCCAAGGTGCTCCCAGGATTCCCGTGTGGGCCCCCAGTGGAGCACCCCTCACGAGGCCCAGAGGTTGCCCAGGGGCTCTCACCTTGAGGGGCAAGCTTGGGGCACCTTGGGCCAGGGGCACCTTTAGCCAACCCCCGAAGGGGGGGGGCGGGCTCCCGGCCCTTCCAGGAACCGGGCCGCCCGCGGGGTGCGCGAAGAGATAGAACGCAGTCGTGCGGCGCGCGCCGCGGTCTGCGGTCTGGGCCGGAGCTGCCGCCCGTCTCCAAGGGGGGGCGGTGCGAGGGCGCGAGGGGCACCACGGGGCGCAGTGTAGGCGAGAGTTTGTGTTCTCCAGAGTGCGGCGGCGGCATTGGATAAGGAGCGTCTTCCTGGGGCCCAGACCCTGGCGCATTCCTTGTTGTTTCAAGGCGAGGTGGGTGGCCCACGTTTGGCCGCCTATCGGTAGCGAGACCCTGGGTTCCTTGTCGAAGATATCCTTGTCTAAAACCTCTACCGTAAGTCTCGCTACCCCCGGGCCGAACCTCCCCTCCCCCCCGGCAAAACGCTAACGCTACCCCCCCTTGCATGCTATGGTGCGCACAGGCGATTGGTGCGCCGGCGGCGCGGACGCATCCTGGCGGGTGTACGCCGCGGCCGCCGTTCCCGTCATCCTGTCGCCCGACCCCCAAGGGTAACTCCCATTACACAGGAGATAAAAAAGAGGTCACCTCTCAGCCTTGAAGACGACATTTTCTTTGAGGCCTCGTATCCCTTCTACGTAAGAGGCCCCCTGCCTCCTGAAGAGGCCTCCCCCCCATCGCCCCATCCTTGCGCGCCGCCAGGGCACGCGAGAAGTCTGAAACCCCGAATCGCTCAGCGCCTGGAGGGGCGATGGTTACCCAGTGCCGCCTTGCGGAGTGTGCGAGTTACTGTAATTAGGTCCCCGCCGTGTCGACGCGGCGGTATCCTGACGGCCCGATGTGGCCCGATGCGTCCTGGCGCTGTGTGGTATTTCTGCGGGCGCACAGTTCAATTCAATCTGGCCGTCGATGGGCGAACGGCGATGTAGGCAACGGTGATGTAGGTTCTTGGAGGGGGGGGAACGCGTGGCTCGCGCTTTCCAACAATTCGCTGTGTCGTGTTCGTTCGATCCACTCGCAGCTGGGAAATGCGGGGAAGTGGAGTTCCACCCGGCTTCCCGATTCGGTGCTGGCTGCTCCTGTTCTCAGGATGATCCCCCCGGCCGTCGACGGGGACAGCGACATGATGGCGCCGGGGCCGCTGGAACTGCCCCCGGACGACCTCGAGGCCCGCCCCGATTCCGCGCGCCGCGCGCCGCTGCCTCCCGGCGTCGTGGATCGAGGAGCAGGGCCGAGTCGAAGAAGAGGAGACGCCATAGACAAACGTTTGGCGCTCTGCGCGGACCTCTTCGATCCGCAGTGAGGCGTCCCAGGCTGCGCCTCCAGCGCCGCCCCTGGCGCCACCCGGGGGGCGTCAGCCAGCGCGGATCCAAGAAATCCGCGCGGACCGGCGAAAGTTTCTGTTTATGCAGTTTTTGCTCTGCTGTTCCTGGCGTCGAGGATCGAGGAGCAGGGTCGAGGGTCTCCAGGTCTCCCAACTCGGATCCGAGCGCGTGGGGTCGGAGGATCGCGCCGCCTCGCCGATGTATCGCCGATGCGGCTCGATGTGGAGCCCGAGTTTCTCCACGCCGACGTCGCCGGTGCATCGCCGACGACGCCGATGTACCGCGCGGATGCATGCGCGATTTGGAGCGATTCTGCGACCCAGCGTGTTCGCCTGTCAGATCGGGGAGGGGATTCGAGGGCCGAGCAAGAGGCTGGATGGGGATCGACGATTGATGTGCTTGGGTGCTTGGGGGTTGTTGAGCTTAAGTCGGGCCTGTTCCTCTAAAGGAGGGATAGTCAAAAAATGGTCGGGGCACGATTTTTTGAATACGTTTGGGCATGGTTGGTGTATGTTTTGTCAATTCTTAATTTTTTGCCCAAAACCCCCCTTTTAGGGAGGGTGGTAAGAAAGAGGATCGTAGAGCAAGTTCTCGTGGAGCGACGGTGAGGTTGCACGGCTGAGAAATCTCCTGAGTAGGCGCTCTTGCCGTGGGGGCGCACGAGTCAAATTCGGGCCAGTTTAGTTGAGTATGGCGTCCCGCTTGCGTGGCGGCGGATCCGGGCAACGTCTCCGACTTCTGTGGATGCGTCTCTGTCAAGAAAAAATCCCCCCTTGTAGGGGGACAGGCCCGACCTACTGTTGGGCCTTCTCTGGCCTTCTCTGGCCGGGGGGACTCTGCAGGGGCCTCCAGAGACTTGCGCGCCTTTCCAGACCTCCGTCTCGCGGGCAGCAGCTGTTGCGGCCGATATTTGCCAGACGCAAGCAACAGGATTCCCCATGTTTCCCCACATTTTCTGGGTTTTTGTCTTCCCTCCCACTTCCCATATTTTCCCATATGTTCTAGGGAATCGGCGATGAATTGTGTCTGTGTGTTTCTTCCCCTCCTGAAGAAAAGACACACAAACACAATTCATGTTTGATTCCCTAGAAAATATGGGAAAACATGGGCAGTTGGGGGGGAAGACAAACACCCAGAAGGTTGCTGGGAAAATATGGGGAATCCTGTTACGTGTGTCCATTTATTTGTGTGTGTCCCCGGGCCCCTTCCGCGTGGTCGATAACTCAACGCGTGAGCTGGAGTGCCCGATGACGTCCAGATAGCGTCCAGGCGTCGGATATCCAGATATATTCAGGACAGCGTCCGACAGCGTCTGGCGCTATCGGGCGCTATCCAGGAGCGCGCGCGGCACGGAGGCTTCTCACGAGTTGCGTTCCAGGGTGAGGTTGTGTTTGCTTTTCTTGCCATGGAGCCATCCTGAACGAGGGTGAGAATCTGGCTCCCAGGAAGGATCGACACTCTTCAGCCGACGAGCAGAACAGAGCAGAGAGCAAAACAAAGCACGCCAGTGGAGGCATGGTATCGTCTTCGGTACCGTCCTCCCCCCCCACTCTCTCTCTCTCTCTCTCCTCCCGTACCTCCGTCTTTGCTTTCTTCTGGACCTCCTGTACTGCCCTCGCCGTCCAAACACCTTAATATTATATCCCCGATCCTTGACGTCGTATGGGGCCTGGGAGCATAAGAAAGGCGGAGGTAAAGTGTGAGAAGGATGAAGGAGGAGGGGAAAACAAGGGAAGAGGCAGGAGGAAGAGAGATAGCTTGCTATGGAAGTGGAGGGAATGGAACAGAAGCTTCAGGAGGAGGGGGGGAGGAGGGAGGGGGGGGGAGGAGGGGCTTGATGAGGAGGAGCAGGAGGGGAGGGGGGGGAGAGGGAGCTGGAGTGAGATGAGGATGAGGGAAGTCTGGGAGCCTGAGGGATCGCCGACTGGAGGGACTGCCGCAGCAGTTGATTCCTCACTTCTCTCGTGGACACTCTGGGCAACCCACCCTTCCGAGTGCTTATGCCAGCACACCCAGTGGCGGGCACGACCCGCGCGCCCTCTTTCGTTCACGGCGCTGCGTCCTCAAGCAGAAGCAAGGGGGGGACTTGACATGAGAGGAGGAAGGGAGCAAACGAGAAGGATGGTTCGGGGAGAATGGCGAGGTTGCAGTGGAAGGAGGAGAAGGAGAAGGTGGAAGGAAGAGGAGGGTGAGCTTGACGAGGATGGGGGGACGGAGAGGCGAGGAGGAGCTTCATGGGCAGGAGGAAGGATGGGCGGGAGGAGGAGCTCTAGGAGCTGGATGAGGAGGAGAGACGGAGGAGGAGGAGGGAGGAAGGCGGGAGGAGGAAGATGGAGAGAGATATCAAGACGATGCGGAGAGGTACCTGGGAGGCTGAGTGGGGGAGGCCTGTGAGACTGAGAGATCCCCGATTGCGCGCGAGCGCGGAGGTTGTCGACCTCGGCGGTTGCGACACTCCGGCGAGCGCCCCGCCGTCTCCGCCGTCGGCCGTCGTCGCCCGCCGACGTCGCCCGTCGTCGGCGTCGGCGTCGGCGTCGTCGTCGTCGCCGTGTGTGTCGTCGTCCGTTGTTACCGCCGTCATCGGCGTTTGCCGTCGTCGCCCGATAGCGTCGTCGCCGTCGGCGGCCATCGTCGCCCTGCGTCTTCGTTGACGCTGGTCCGTTGTCACCCGCGGCGTCGTCGTCATCGTCGCCCGGCTCGTCGTCGAGGCAGCAGGGAGGATCCGAGAGGAGGACAGACCAGATCGTCCAAGCTCGCCGAGAGCAGGAGCAGGGAAAGGGTCGGGCAAACGGGGTAAAGAAGGGAACGCGCGACCAGAGGAGCAGGCAGTGCGAGCGAAACGCAAGCAAGCTACCGACGACGAAAGCAGAAGCAGGCATCGTCCTCAGGAGAGTGAGGGCGGGGGTGTCCCTAAAACGCACCCGTGAGGATCTTCGTCATCACCAGGGGTGTCCCAGAAATGCCTTTGCTGGAAACTACCCCAAGACATGGGGCCCGCAATTGGGACCGCATGGCACTGGCCATGGCCCAGGACCTACACAATCGGCAGAAGCGCAGTTTACCAGGTAGACTCACGTGGCGGCCCCGAGTATGGCGGGCCACAAAGGGCCCTCAGCAGGGAGGGGGAGGTCACAGGCACTTCGTGCAAGCAATGCGTGGGGAATGTCCGCTGCCTCCCGAGGTCTTGGAAGATCGGCTCCCACAGTGGTGGATCTGCAAAGTCATTCGCGGTTCGGCTGGTTCGACCGCACGTTTCATCTTTGCCTCGACGCGGCCCTGGCAAACCCATCTCGCTGGCCAGCTGTTGAGGCTTCGCTGCCCGAGGCCTCAGCGTCATCTCCAGGCATCCCTGTGCGCAGGCAGAGCGCACTCTGCGCCATGAGCAGTGCTCTGATGTTCGATCCGTGGCCCCCAGGCTCGAACCCGCTCAGCACAGGAAGGGATCGGCGGGGGGTCAGCAGCGTCATCTCCAGGCATCCCCGCGAGATGCCCCGACCGCGCCTGAGATCTGCCGGCGTCCCTCTTCGCCATTCCAAGCCGCTGCCCCCTCGGGCGCCTCGTCGTGGCATGGCGAAGCCGTCTGGTCTTCGCGGCGTTCGGGGGGCGCGTCGGGGGTACACATCCAAGCGCGCGAGCCGCCGGCAGGTGTCGCACCGCGCGCAACGATCGTCAAGCTTCGCACCATTCACCCGGCGCGTTCCACCACTCGCAAATTGCCTACTCGCAAACGGCCGAACCAAGACTTGTCTTCCCTTGTGTGCTGGATCGTGAAGCCCCCGCGGCGGATTCGGGCCATTTGCGAGTAGTTACTTTGCGAGTGGGGGAACGCGCTTGTCCAGAGGTGCCCCGTCGTCAGGTGTTCGATCACGACGTCTCGTGAGGCGCCATCGTCCAGCTCCCGCGCGCACACGGAGCCGCCGCAGGCCGCCGGACGCTGACCTCCGACCTGCCGCAGCTGCTTCACAGCGCGGGCCCCCGCAGGTCTGGACCTCTTTTCAGGGCCGTCTTTTCGCCCCGAGTCGCCTCTCGTCGAGCAGTGGCGAAACGTCCTGGCTCTCCTGTAGGCCCACGACAACATGTTCTAAGAGTCTTGCGTGGCCTGCACGACATGCTCTCAGAACATTTCTGGCCGAGACTGTTTTGTTTTAACACATCGGGCGTATGTCCTGAGAACATGGCCTTTTTTCTCAGGACACTTTTGGGTTCTGAGAACATGCCGTGGTAGGCCTACAGGATTGCCGGGGCGGTCGGTCCCTGCTCAATCCTGACGGTCCCATGGCCTGGTGAGGGCCCCCCCCCAGAGGCCGAAGGATGGCAACACATGCCAGTCGTGGTTCCCTCCGCAGCGAGTGGAGGTTCGGGTTCGTCCGCCCTCGATCCAGGCCGCCGTCGAGGGCCTGGTGAGGCCCCCCCCCCAGAGGCCGAAGGCTAGCAACACGTGCCAGTCGTGGTTCTCTCCGCAGCGAGTAGAGGTTCGGGTTCGTCCGCCCTCGATCCAGGCCGCCCTCGAGGCGCGACGGTCCGTCGAGACATCCCTCGCCGCCGCCGTCGCGCCTCCTGGTGGCGGGCGGGGCGGGGCGCGGGGGGGCGGGTGCGGGGGACAGAGTTCCCGCAGACGGCCTTCTCCTCCTCCGCCTCCTCCTCCTCGGTCGAACTTCTTGGAACGCACGTGCCAGCATTGCACCGCGGAGGCACGGCGAGCTCGTGGCCGCCGCCGCGCGCCGCGCGTTCGCGGGCGCACGGCCCCAGGAGCCCGCAGACGACGCGGACGTCCTGCCGGCGCTGGACCTCGACGAGGCCTCCGCGCCCGCGCCGTCCACGTCCTCCTCCTCCTCCTCCTTCTCCTCCTCCTCCTCCTCCTCCTCTTTATCTCCGTTTTCCTCCTCCTCCTCCTCCTCCTCCTCCTCCTCCCTCCTCCGTTCTCCTCCTCCCTCCTCCCTCCTCGGCGCCGCCGCTGCCGCGGTGGTCGTCGTCGTCGCTGCTGTCGTCGTCGTTGTCGGCGTGGTGGTGGTGGTGGTCGTCGTCGTCGTGGTCGTCGGTCGTCCGTCGGCGCAGCCGTCGCCGCCGTCGGCGTCGCCGTTACCCGCGGCAGGCTTCAGCAGGCGCGGGCAGCGCCGCGGTCGTGCTCGCCGACCCCGCTGGGGCCCTGCTGGCGGACGCCGGGCCCTGAGGGGGAGGGGGGGTCACCCTTGAAGACGCCTAGCTAGCATCGCTCGCCGGAGGCTTGATTGCCTCCCTGTGGGGTTGTTCGACTTGTTCTCTGGCGCATTCACTTTACGAGGGAGGGGGCGCTCGCAGGCAGAAGTCTCGGTGGGGACGGCCAGATCAGGGGAAGCGAGAGGCTGGGGCGCTTGGCCTGGCTTTGACGGGATGGGGCGTCGATCCCCCATTGCCCAGTATTCGCAGAGGCGCCTCGCGGTCCGCCAGGAGGGGGGGGGAAGACGGATGGGGGGGGGCGGAGGGCAGCTCAGGGTGGACTGGCCAGGGGGACCCAGTGACCCCCAATCGCCCATTCATTGACAGTCGGGGCTGGGCCTCCCACCGCGCCCAGGAGCGTGCGGTTCCGAGATCGAAGGCCTATCGCCGATCTTTCGGTGATGTGTCGCCGAGTCCTAGATGTTCCCCCCCCAAACGGGTACCCCCCATCGGGGATGGGCCTGGCTTTGGTGCTGGCTGTGCGTGCGCCGCGGCGGCGGGGTCAGGAGAGGGCGGTGTGCGTGGCGGCTGCTGGGAGGGGTGGGTGGGAGGAAGCAGAGAGGAGCGGCGAAGGGGAGGCAGAGAGGAGCGGCGAAGGGGAACTGGCGCAAGAAGAGCCTGGCAGCAAGAAGGGGAGGACGGCGCGACGGCGACAGGAGGGCGCGGGGCGGGGAGGGGTGGATAAAGAGAGATCCGCGGCTAAGGGGACGCGGGGCAGGTGGGTGCACGCTGAGGAACCTCCAGGATGGCCTCGGGGCGGCCCATCCTAACTCCGGACGGCATCCAGGGCGCACTGGACGACGGCCAAAGGAAGCTTGCCCACGACCGGCCCCAGGGAGAATTCCCAGCACGCCCTGAGATGGTACCGAGATGCAGGGGTGGACCCAAACAAGGTGTTTTAGCGATTTCGTTGGCCGTTTTCGTTTCGATTTCGTTTTGCGTTAAAGAGAGAAAGCGAAAACAACACGACAACGAAACACATCGTTTAGGTTCAGACCCTGCCGAGGTGGAGGTGGGGCTTGGGCGCTCGGTGGCTGGAGGGCAATACACGGGGGGGAGGCGGGGGATCGAAGAGCGCAGGACGGCCCTACGGTTGTGGAGGACGATCCATGGAGAGGAAGCAGGCTGCCAAATAATTTCCAGATGTCTAAAAGATGTCTTCCTGGCAGGTTGTGTGGGGTCTCTTGTGAGGCCTCTCGGGGGCCGATTGGCAGTATGTTTGGGACCTCGTGGGCCTCACGGAGGCCTCTTGGAGGCCTCCTTGGCGCATCTTGGAGCGTCAATTATTATTATTATTATTATTATTATTATAATAATTATTATTATTAGTATTAGTATTAGTATTATTAATATTATTACTATTATTATTTTTATTTATTATTTTTATTATTTATTATTATCATTATTATTATTATTATTAAAAATATATAGATACACCAGTAAACAATCGAAACTCAATCATGCTTGCCTCTTGGGGCTCTTTGGGCCTCTTGGGGCGTCTTAGAGGCCTCGTGGGCCGTCTGGAAGCCATCTTGGGTGTCTCGGACGGATCGTTCGACGATTTGGAGCCCTCTTGGACCGTCTTGGGCGCCTCTTAGGGTCTACCTGGAGCTTTTTGGGGCGCCTGATCCGCACCGCCCAGGGGACCGCCCTGTGACCTGCCAGGGTTCTTTTCGCCCGGGGACCCCTAGGAGCGGCCCCGCGCGCTCGTATTAGAAGTACGGTTAATCTGATACCAGGGATCTTAGCACGCCTTTGGCCCGTTAGGCCGGCGAATTGAGGTCCTTCAGCGTTGTCATTGCCTCTTGAGGGTCTTCGGAGAGCCCTCACCGCCTCGGCTGGATCCGCCTGGAAGTCCTGGCCAGATCGCACCTAAGGAGAGGTCTGGGGCGCATTGCGAACTCGCAATTGCTCCTTGTCGTGGCGGGGGCGTCCAAAAAGGGATGCGTGGGTATCATGGCCGGGGTCATGAAAGCTCTCAGATTTCATGGGCCCCCTTCTTCTTATGCGTCTTCCTCGTCATCTGATTATTATTTGTATTTATTCTTCTTCTTCTTCTTCTTCTTCTTCCAACACGCTTCCTGCCCCCCCCATCGCCCTCGCGTACGCCTCGGGCAATGATGCGCAAACCCTTTTTTCCTGGCCCTCCTCTTCGGGGCACCCAGCTGTGTCGCCCTCTGCAGAGGTCTTGATTCCACCGAGCGTGCTGCGGAGCGCCTGGCGACGCCAGGCTGCCCTCCGAGGGGGGAGAGCTGCAAGCGGTTCTGTGAGGCACGCGCGGCAGGTGCCGTCGACTCGGGGCCGAGAGCGAGGGCCCTGTTGTGATTGCCTGCCGTGAGGGTTCAAGTAGGAGATCGATGATTGACCACCAGCCGAAGTACTTTCCAAGATTCGACGACAACATCAAGTTTGGGGTACATAAATTATGCAGCCGATCTCCTACTCGACCGGTGGGGCTGTCACAGGAGACGGGGGGGACATCGAGCATGTGCGGTGTGGTATGCAGTCGCGACCTCTTCAGACCTCCGATGCCGCATTTGTGTCATGACGAGTGGGGCGGTCTCGGAGTGTTCGACTCCACCCGCCGGCCTGTCCCTTCGACGCGGGCCCATGTTTGAAGGTCGGAGGCCGAGAGCGCCCTTCGGAGCGCTCAGCCGTGGTAATGCTTATTCGGGGCGTTGGCGGTCCACCGAGACACGGGCAGGGGAGGGCCGTCGGCAAGAAGCGGCGCGGTCGGGGCTATTTCCTGATAGACGAGCAGACTGAGATCTCCAAG